TTCGGATAATTTATTCCACTAGATCTACAGACACAAGAGCATCTAGAACATCGAGAACCTATGATATACAATGCAATAGATCGTGTAACATCCACTTAGTCACATTGAAACTGTTTGGACATTTTCGATACTACAGACATTGTGAACACATCATCGGTACTCCAGGTTAGAGAACTTAGAGCATCTGATATACATGGCAATAGATCGTGCATGAGCCACATAGACAGTTTAAAACTGTTGAGGCATATTTCGTTACTACAGACATTGTTCTAGTCTTGGTTGATCTTGTAGAACATATCATCTGAGTTGTAGGACGGTTTGGAGAGCATGATCCAAACAGACACATATTTCGATACTACAGCAATTGTCCCAGTTTTGGTTGATCTAGTAGAACACATCGTTTGAACTCCAAGAAAATTTGGAGAACCTGTAACGATCTATTCTAAGGAACGTTACTCTGTGCAAACTCGGTATGAGACCGTCTGCTCAGAGCAGACCAAACAGTTAATTCAGAACTAAATCGATTACGACTTTTGACCCAACCAAGGCGAACCCAAATTAAACCAAAATAAAAAAAAACTAGAAACAGATGCACTTTAATGAATTATTGATCGGAAGTGATATAATAATTTAAAATCTGGAACAAACTCGGTATGCAAAATAACAGCCACGGTCTGATGAAGTATATTTAACTAAACTCGAAGTGATTTATTGATAAAACAATATTGCCGTTTGCGGAAGTAATTTTTAAAAGAACGTTATGTCAAGCTACCGATATTTAGCGGCTTGAATTAATTGATTTAAAACCTAGCAAATCATATATTAAAAAAGGTATTTTCCTGTATCCAACTGCTCCCTAGTCGGATGTTCTTGAGCCGAGTCGGACAAACCAGCTAAGGCAGGACGACATCCTCAATAAATAATTAATAGACTTAGTCGTTCACTTTTTTCTGGGAATTTTGTTAAACAAAATAAATAAAATAAAGTTTTTTTTTTTCCATACATTTGTTAACCGCTTTACTATCAGTGCCCAGAGCACCAAAAATTTAAAATTTGAGAAAAAAAATCTCTCTAAAGAGCTCAATATCTCACCATGACATTTGATTTGTGATTTCCCTCTCACAGACTACAACATAGAGTACCTGCCATGACACTACAACACATGTCTGGTACTTCTGTTTATGCATTGAGATTAACATCTGACGTCCCTCATTTTTTACATATTCTGCACAAAAGATACTTTCTGCTCCGCCCCATTAATAAAAATCGGCGGGAATTTCTGTGAGGGGTGAGCTATTTTGTGTGCAGAATGTGTGAAAAAGGAGAGACTTCGGATGTTAATCAAAATGCATATATAGAGGTACCAAACATGTTTTGCACTGCACTGTCCTCTGTGAACAATTAACGGAAAACAGATTATGCGTAGTTTAGACAATGAGATTGCAGTCCAAAGACAAATTGCGAAAAGATGCAAGTTGTCTTTTCTCTCACTATATTTCTAATAAAAATATAAATAATCGTTAAAGAGTAATAGTGTTTTATTGAATAGTTATATCTCGAAACAATAATTTTCACAAGATCCAAGAATGAATAATCTGCAGCTAATTAAAACACCTTCTTAAAGACGTTGGTTTTCTTTGTTGTCAGATAGTATTAAAATTAATCGATTATCTAGTCTAATCTAATCTAACACCAACACAGCCAGTTCTTGAAAGCATCCTGGAAAATGATATATATGCCTACATCATTTTTCTTGTCTATTTGATATATGTTTCACATCGAAGATGCATCACACATATCAATACATAACTGTGCAGCATTTAAGGGGCAAGATGATTCAGAAAACATCGGGCCTGTTTAAATCGAAGATTTAAACACGATGCTTCAGAATCAAAAAAATTGATGAAACGTGAACATTTCGTACCGTACGTTCCGATTTTGGTAATTATATGATTGGTTGGTCGTTGGAAGCATCAAAGCTAGAAAGGTTAAGTGATGCTCCATTGGGGCATGAGCGCTAACTCTTGTCTTAGCCTTTTATGACTTATGGATATAGCGCCATTACTCGCTTTCTGAAAAGAGAAGAGGGAAAGGAAAAGGAGAAGGCCAAAAGTAAAAGGATTATGTGAAATCTATGAACATAAACAATATTTTTGATTTGAAATATACAATATAGAAATGCATAACGGCGCGGTGGTCACTACCCGAGTCTTGTCACTATTATCAAGACATAAAAAGTAACAAGGACTAAAAAGTGATCCTTTGATTACTGGAAAATCCTGATGATTGGGTATAGAAATCATCCTCAATGTGTAAAAACTGGTGATCTCAAACTAGGCAATACCAGCGCCGGTCGCGCCCTAACGCAGGTCAAGAAAGGAATGGGTAGAAATGTGTTTTGTTACTCGCTTTGATGGAAGCCGAGAAATCCTCCGCACTTCCACGAGGAATCACTTCAATTTTGCCAACAAGCCCGAAAATTTAGTGTTGCCAAAATCGAACGGTCTTATTTTGAAATTCAATTTATGATTTGGTTGACTTCGGACCACTGCGAGGCATCGCCATGACATAGACGTTACTAATAATAAATCTTTTATTAAAAGTTGTAATCACAAGGAGCAAAAACACACTTTTTTCAAATATTAAAATTAATCGATTATTTCCATTAATCGATTATTTCATGTAGATTAATCTATTGCGATTACATTCAATAAAAAAGTAATCGATTATTAAATAATCGATTCGTTGGGAAAATCGAACATCACTACATGAGAAAAAGTGACCGATGGCCGTTCCTTAAGAGGCAACTAATTATCACTTGATTTGCTTTTGCTTTTTCTTCTTGTATTCCTAAATCACCATTTTCTAAAAGCATTGGTTCAATTCGTTGGTAGCGTGCGTTGCCATGCCACACAAAACAGTCAATGCATTATAAATATCAACTGGTATGGTGAGTAAAATCTACCATCTCTTTTGTCATAAGAAAACGAGACGTTTCCGTGATGGCAAAAGTGGTTTCCCTAACACAGTCACCAAATACTGATACCGAGCACTGAGCATGCCAGACGGTACCTATCTTTATGACGTTTGTTGCAAATTTTAAGCTCTTCCTATTAAGAGAATTATGTAAAAAAAAATCTTGCCAACTTCTCTTAATAGAAGGAGCTTGAAATTTGCATCTATAAGCATAAATGTATGTACCGACCGGTATGCTCAGTTCATGTGATTGATATGTTTTACCTAATAGGGTAGGTGCACCAGTATTGGGCATAGGTTCACATTTGGGTCACACCTCAGAAAACCGATTAAATTACAATATTCGTCCATTTTGTGGTCAACATGTTTAAATACACCGATTAATATGATTTGTACCAACAAAACGTGAAATTGATAAGGTGGCCATATTTCATTTCCGCACCGCTATCATCTCCAAGAATATCGAGGAAAAAATTCAACAGCATTGTTCTAAACTGGCTTCCAAGCTTCCAACCCATCGGTCCTTGCAGGACCACAAATGACTGATTAAAGAGTTAACTAAAGAGTTCAATTAAGAGCTTGTATCCAAGACATATCATCCAGGATTGGTTTGTACTACATGGAGATCGACACCTCAAAAACAGAACTCTCAAATTGCTTCCAAATTTAAACCTATCTTACTTTTTCACTGATAACGAGTTAAGAAATCAATTCAATATTTACTATACTTTTGCTGTGACATCAAAACTACCTTTCGTAAGCCTATGTCAAATCTACGGTCGTGTCTTGGATACAACCTCTTATTTTCATTTCTCGCATCTACTTGCATCGCGCATCATCTTTTTGCAAGAAATCTTCAGAATCGTCATCAATCTTCTTTCTATCTACCCAGCGTGTGCGCAGCGTACAAACTTACACTGAATCAAAAGAACGTAAGAATTCCATAGGAACCACTTATGGATTTTAGCCACAAGAAATCGGTACGAATTTCATTGATTTGCCTTATGAAAAATAATGTCAACAAAAATTAATAAAAATGAAGCAGGTTGCAACCTAACCATGGATGTTGAGATAACGGGTCCTGTGTCTTGACCACTCATCTGTCAACGCTTGGCAAAATTGAATGGCTAAAGACGTTTTAAAGCTACCTCATGTTAGACGAAAATCTTCCATAAGTCGCGCTTATGAAATTCATACGTGTTGTTCATAAGTCGAGCCTTATGAAATTCTTAAGAATATTTGCCTCAGCACATCGGAATTTATATCACATCGCCACAAGAGCAATCTATAATTGCTTTTATTTATATTTCACATTTGACAGCTTCCGTACCAAGTTTTGTGTTCTGAAATTAATTTAATATCGTTAAAACATGTAATAAGGGGCCATCCATAAATTTTGTCACGTAAATAGTTATTTTTAGCAGAAACATTCCATTTTGTTTTGAACAAATCCGTTTAAAGATGTATTTAAATGTTGGAATCTCTTTTAATTATGCACCTCTTGCTAAATCTCAGTATGTTCTCAGTTTCTGATATATTTCAACTCACATTAAATAGATTAGATACGAATCGCTAATAGAGATCCCAGGAATAAATCGGTCAAGCCTTACAGCTCATACTTCTGGGATATTATATATAATGTATTATTGAAACATCTTACATAAACCTGCAGCAATCGTTTCACTCTTGCTTTCTACCGATCGTCATCATGAGATCATTTGGATTTGCCGCAATAGTAGTTGCTGTTCCGGTGCCGTTATAAGTAGATAATCTAATGAGTATCAATGACACAATTCACCGCAACATGAAACAGGCACTGCTGATGCACTTGAGAACGATAGTAGTGTAAACATATCATGCCCTCCATGCATCAGGTGATGCACTCCGTTTGTTCTAGTTCATCTTAGATGCGGGCAGAATATCATGTTTCCAGACGGTAACCAACCGGGAAAGAACCACTAGAACAGAAGTTTTGGTATAAAAAGCGAATATTGTTCTATTGTCAGTATCAGTTCGATCACAGCCTCAGGCAAGCAAAAGTACAGTGCTTAAGAGGATAAGGCTGATCTTAGGAAGAAAAATGGCTTTTAAGGTTTGTACAGTGACTCTCCCTTTCTTACCCATCAAACTTACACAAAGATTATGTTTCAGTTCTTACTATTTCTCGTGGCAGCAGTTGGGGCTGCCAGCATACAAGAGCACCAGTCACAATCACAGCAGCAGCAGCGCCAACGGCAGTCTACGGAGGTTCAGGATCAAAACGAAGACGGACCAGTGGGATACGACTTTTCTTATTCGGTCCAGGATCCGACCACGGGTGATATCAAAAGCCAGGAAGAATCACGCCGAAATGGCAACGTACGAGGACAGTACTCATGGGTAGATGCTGACGGAAACCGTCAGATTGTAGAATACCAAGCGGACGACCAGAATGGATTTCAATCGGAGCATCGTCGTGAACCAGCGCCACCCAGGCCACGGGTGCATCATGTAGTACAGCTTATCCCAGCCCCTTTGTATACCATTGACACGGTTTTGGCACCGGTACATTCGTCGGTCTCCCGAGTGGATCATCATCGAAGACAACACCAGGACAACCGGGATGATCGTGATGGTCACGATGACGATCGTGTTAACCGTGACGATCGTGATGGACGTGATGGACGTGATGATCACGACGATCGCGACGACCGCGATAGCCGTGACGGACGGGATGGGCGTGATGATCGTGATAGCCGTGATGGTCGGGACAGTCGAGATGGACATGATAACCGTGATGGTAGTGATAATCGCAACCGCAACGATGGACGTGATAACCGCGATGGACAGAATCGTAACCGTGATCGTCAGCAGGAAGGGCGACGGGGACGTGAAACTCAAGCTCAATCGGAAGTTCGATTCCAAGATCCTGCCGTTGCCTATCAGTACAGCAATTGAATCATACCAAAACAAACAAAAAATGCTCGTAGATCGAACCTTACATCTATGGACCATGCGCTCTAATGTAGTCTAAGCAGCAAATCGAAATAAAAAGTCATTGAACACGAAACCAAAACTACTGTCTGCGATTTTTTTTTCTCAGTCTATATTTAGGCGATCAGACAAAAAATAATACCCGCCCCTCAGTGGTGCTACCAAGAAGAACATGAAAGTGAAAGGATCAACGCCTTCTGGTAACCACACCACCCGAATGTGAGTAGTGACCTTACTGTTCATTCAGGACCGGTTATACTTTGTCCTCTGCTACGATCAATCGTCATGTCGTCTCTACCAGACCCGGTTGCGGTTGGGAAAGCATTGTCAATTTTTCTTTCATCTGGTGCAAGATAATCCGAACGTAGCTGAACAAAAATTTTGCCACATGTGTGCACAGTCCGAGGCTTAAAGGGGATTGCCAATCTTTCTGTAGAATGTAAATCAAGCATTTAAATTCATATGAGCCTGACAGAAGCTAATGAAGTTGTTGGTTTAAAACCTCTATAGTTATTAAACAAAACAAAATAGATGTTGGCCTAACTGGTTTCGTCGGTTGAAAAGTCAATCAACTTCAATCGCTTGCTATTTTGATCCTAGCAGTGTTTTTGTAATAAATATTGTTGTATAAAATTACAGGTACAGAATCCAATTAACACAAATATAATTATTTTAAGTAAACTGCTATACAACCAAAACCAGTCATACAAAGGTTATATAAACTGTCATAGAACATGTGTGTAGCTTGGGAATCCAAATTCAGAATTGTGTGCATCAATGTTGCGATGGAAACTTGCTCATGTTGCGATAGTAAGTGATTTTATTTTAACTTCAGTAATGTTATTTTTAGGCGAGGGCTAGTTTTTTACACAGTAAGTGAAGGAAATTTAATGATATGTTGATGGACGGAAGTAGTTAGTTTCTTAGCGGGATCGACTGTTACGAACTATGTTGGAGGTTATGTGGCTTTCAGTCTTTTGATGCTTAAAAACGGGGTTTTAAATTTTCATCTGACGTTTCGCTCACATGTATTGTGCCTTTTTCAAAGAATCTGTGTGAAAATGTTTTTTTTTTTTTATTAAATACAATGTTGGAATTTCGTTTTCGATTTTACTTACTAACTAAATTCCGTTTAAGTGTTAGGAGCCCAGTAGTTAGATCCTCAGAATTCTAAATTTACAAAACTATTGGTTCATCGTCTTATCACACATGATGCCTAGATTCACGACAGACTTCACGTTTCATTCTAAGTATTACACCAAATTTTCCAAATCCTGGCAACCATAATTCATGGATTATAAAGATATACAGGCACATATATATCTACAAAACAAATGACTAATAATGCAAAAAATACTTTATACTTACCAAAGTGGAGATCATATACTTGAGAATTCAAAAAAAAAATATTGACTTGCGATCAACATTAGATACGACTTAATCTGTAATCAAATATGCAGATTGACAAGTCTTACAAGTCTTAGTTCATCCGAATTAATTTGTACATTCGTACGATGGAAATATTATATATCGTATAAAAGTCAAAAGTGTATATATTTTAAGATATGATAGAAGATCATATTTGATGAAACATATTGTTCTACGCATACGATCTTATCTCTAAGATTACTGAGTTATTGAATTATTTGCTCTAACTCGAAAAATATGCTACTTAGCTCAAAATTATCACCAGATCAAATATGATCTTCTATCACTCCTTTAAATATTTGCACCAATGAACCGAACACCCTGTATACGATGAAACTTAAACATGTGAAGTTTATTCTTCCATGTGATTTGGACTATTTCTATTTTTCTATTGGTTTGTTTTTCCGTCGATCTTGTTTTCCGTACTGAGCATAAATGCTATCGATGCCAGGGGCCACACATGGGCCCTACCTATCGACCCATCAGCTCATGAACCGGGGACCAACGGTTTTACTTCTCTTCCAAAGGAAGGCGTGCTCAAAGATGTTATGCCTCAGAACATCCCAGCGGTGCCGACTGAGATTGATCTCTGGCCTTCTGGGGTGAGAGGTTATCACGCTTACCACAACACCACCGGCGCCGCTAAGATTTGGACTAAATCTGTAGTATTCTAAATTTTTTACGCAATCGCTTCATTTTTTGACAAGAAATCGAGTACTAGGCAATCTGTTTTAATGAGATTTCAGGAAAAAAAACGTTTGATTGTTGAGTCTCGTTAAATTCTTTGCTGAATCTGAGCAAACAAACGTGATTTTTGCTGAGATCTCAGTAAAATTTATTATTGAGCTGTGCAAGTATCGGGGGGAAAATTGCCGAGCTGACGAATAAAAAACTAAGTGTGTATGATGACGCGTATGCTGCATAGTTCATAAAGATCATATTGCCGCTTAACGTGGGTAGATCACCACTTCGTTACGGTTTCAAGTTTACCACCGATCCCTGGTTTTGACCACTTTAAAATTTTGATTTGGTCTTAACTGATTCATGTCAACTTTGTAGCCAATTGGTCACCCATGATGACTTCGGTTCTGTTCACCTTCCCGTAACTTTTGAAATATCCCCAGAAATAATTTCTAATCTCAACAGCTCTACTTTCAATTACCATAGAGCTGATTGGGAGCAATATCGAACATTCATGGAATATAGCTTTGATCCAAACATTCATTTGCAAACCAAAGTTAATTATACTCTTGAACCTCTGACTACTTCTATAGTTGCAGCAAGAGCTGCCTCAGTACCAAAATGCGAGGTTAAATTCGATTCAATTATAATAGACGACGATATTCAGCTCTTGATCCGTCTTAAAAATGTCCGTAGGAGGCAATATCAAAGCAGACTTGATCCTGCCATAATAGTTTTCTGGCGGGATTTTCAAAAACAAATTAAAATGCGATTCTCAGCCCTGAGGAACACAACTTTTGAAAATATTGTTTCGAAATTAGACCCAAATTGCAAACCCCTTGGGAAACTCACAAAAAAATTTAAAAAACCTCAAAAACCTATTACAGCGCTTAAAGAAGGTGGTAAAATTTTTATCACAAATTCGGAAAAAGATCAGAAACTAGCTAAGCAATTCGAGAGTTCCCAAAATTTAAGTTTAGGTCTTACTAGTCCTCTTTTCTCTCGGGAAAATATTTTTGATGATTCCTGGGGAATTATTTGGACGAAGTAAGATCTATAATTAAAAAGTTTCATAATATGAAAGTTCCAGGTGATGATGGAATTTTCTATATCCTCATCAAAAAACTCTTTCTTGGTAAAATTATTTAACAGATGTTTTTATTTGGCATACTTTCCTGATCAATGAAAAAATGCAAAAGGTGTTCCAATTTTGAAGCCGGATAAAAATCCAGCTGATGCTTCTAGCTACCGTCCAATAAGTTTGCTTTCTTCATTGAGTAAACTTTTTGAATAGATCATTTTAAATAGAATGACGCTTCACATCAATACGAACTCAATTTTTGCAGATGAGCAGTTTGGATTTCGCCATGAGCATTCAACTACTCATCAAGTCTTTAGAGTTACCAATTTAATTCGTTCAAACAAATATGAAGGCTACTCAACTGGAGTTGCTCTTCTAGACATAGAAAAAGCATTCGATAAATTGAAAAAGTTTAATTTTCCACTCTATAGGTAAATTATCAAAATTCCAAATCTAATCGACTACCTGTTAGAGCAGGAATTCCTCAGGGTAGCATTCTTGGGCCTATATTGTATAAAATTTTCACTTCGGACCTCCCTGATTTGCCTCAGGATTGCTACAAATCTTTGTTCGCTCATGACCTAGGCATTTCTGCTAAAGGAGTAAGTCTTCGTGTTATTTGCAGCAGACTGCAGAAAAGTTTAGATATTTTTTCTTCTTATTTACAAAAATGGAAGATTTCTCCCAACGCTTCCAAAACTCAACTTATAATATTTCCACATAAACCTAGAGCTTTTTTAAATCCTAGTAGTAGTCATATAGTCACTATGAAAAGAGTTCCAATTTCCTAGTCAAACCAAGTGAAATATTTTAGATCAGTCAATCAAAAATATCTCCAAATGACAAAATGACAAGCGATCAACGAACCGAATAATAACGCTTTGTACGAAGAACTTTGAGATTTGGGTGTAATTGCTTTTGTAAACAAACACGTCAATCACCGATTTCACGCGAATAAAAGAACAATCTCGCGAACAAACTACACCAAATGGTAAAGGAACCACTCCTCTACCTGTTTGTGCTATTAGTTTTTGAGATTGAGCTTTAATTCGCGTGAAATCGTCAAAGGACGTGTTTGTTTACAAAAGCAATTACGCCCTAATCTCGAAGTTCTCCGGATGTCAACAGTGGAAAACCATAATGATATAATCTTCTTCCTATTTCTTCATGACAAGCAGCCCGTGTGACATAGCTAACTCGAGGCGGTAGAAGGAAACAAGCAAATTGTTGGCAACAAAATACGGAATACGGTAGGACGAACAAAATACGGAACCAAAAAGGGAGAAACAGAAAATAGCATCTCCGCTAGGAGACAGACAGAGAAAGTCGATTAAACGTAAAAAAAATTCATCTGTTTGGATTGAAGTTGCAAAACGCATCGCGTTCGATCAAATTGACACGGAAAACAAAAAAATAGGTATTAAACATTTTTAAAAATTACTTAAAATCTGTGATTCTCGGTAGGAAAAGTGAAAATCTTTAGTTTTGAACCATTCGTCTGTGAATCAGTAGGCATCCCGAAAATCGACAGGACTACCGAAAAATCGGTAAGTATGGCCACCCTGCCCGCAACGTGGGTAGATCACTTTTTCGTGGTACGTTACGGGATCTGCCACCGATTCCTAGTTCTGAATACTTCAAACTAGGAGAACAGGATTTTTCAGTAATCAAAGGAACACATCTTAGTCCTTGTTACTTTGTATGCCTTGTTGATAGTGATAAGACTCGGCTTTGCCCACCGAGGATGATCTTGAAACAGGGAAAAAAATGAGTTAGTTAGTCTTCATCTATGTGATTCCTAATCTTCTATTCGTTTTTCCCTAGTTTGAAGTGATTAAGACTAGGGTTCTGATACATGGTCATTATCGG